GATATGTCCAGAAATGCATTTAGACCAGTGCTAGGGAAAGCATGTTATGAAATGTACTTGATAACATACTTTCCCTAACACTGGTTCAAATGCATCTCTGGACATATCTCAAAGAGAGCTTCAAAATGAGCCCTCACTGGCTTTCCTAAGGTTATTATAAAAGATAATACTACAATGTTTCCTTTCGGGGTTTGCGCGAAACTCCTAAATACTATAATTTTCACAAGATAATTTTGTTCTCAAAACCCTAATTGGCTTGAAATTTGGAATTTGAGTCTTCCACATCAAGAAGAATATAAGTACCCAATGTAAACAAAATCCTAAGCTATGATTTAATATTGCTATCAAACTCCTGTTGAATTCATATAGAATGACCCAATAAAAAGATTCATAGCTTCCACTCTTTTTCTATCCTGAATAGTTTGATTAAACAACTGATTGGCACAAGAAATATGCTGTGTGGGGGGGATACTAATTCTCAGGATAAATGGAAAAAAAAAAAAGTTTTTTCAAGTATATTCCATAACATACTTAACCTATTGCTGATCCAAAGGCATTTCTGGACATATCTCAAAGAGAGCTTCAAAATGAGCCCTTACTGGCCTTCCTGGGGTTATTATAATGAAAATACTACCATTTTTCCTTCTGGGAGGCTGCGTAAAACCCCAAAATACTATAATTTTCAAAACCCCTAAATTTTGTCCTTAAAAGCCTGATTGACTTGAAACTTGGAATTTGGGTCTCCCACATCAAAATTATCAAGTTATTTATGGTGTTTTTTTTGTGAAAGGAAAAGAATCTGTGATAATTGTAAATAAATGTCTTTATGTCTGTGATAGCAAGAAATGTGTGATAAAAGAAAAAATAAAGTTTCTGTGATAAAAGATAAATGCCAATTTTGTTAGAAGTAATCACATTGATAATGTTTTGTAATGAACTACCAAAGAAGTTTAATTTTGTATTGAGAAAAATAAATATTTTTTGCCAATTATATATTTTATTCACAAACAACAGAACAGATATTGTAAATTCTTACCATGCATATACATGTGTATTAATTCCTTTGCAATCATATTTAACAGTGCTTCTATAAATGCATTATATGTAACAGAAAAATAATCAATTAATTAATTAATCTGAAGCAGTAGGAGAATTACTTAGAAATATAATTTACAAAATCTACATAATCATTAATATTTCACACGTTTATTTAATAATCAATATAAGAAATCATAGAGCAAAAGCCAAAACACATTTTAAATTGTAATTCAAGGCAAACAAAACATGAACCTCTAACAGCATATTAATAATTAAAAATATAATTTTTATGAAATAATATACCCAATAATTCTCCATAATATGAAACATCCATTATCACAAGAGACCAGCACTGACTAGAACTAAAAAAAGAAAAAAACCACTGGCTCAGCGTCAGAAATCCACATCAAGAACAAAATATATTTTTTCTTCATTATTTTTTTTATACAATCAATAAATATCTTTTGCTAAAAAATATACATTGACAGTTATATTTTCCTAGTTAAAAAAAAAATAATAAAAATAAAATGATATATCTAAATCTTAGAAAAAAAAATCAATAAAATTTCTCCGGGTATTGTCTTCCTGCACACCCTGGGCTCTAATCCCAGGGGCATCTTGAGGATCAAGTTGGACATCTGGTAGATCTAATGGAATTTTATAAGTAATTGCAATGTTGTGCAAAACTGCACAAGCCATAATGATTTTTTTGCTTGTGTCCAACTTAGTCCTCATTGGTATAGATAGGACAGCAAATCTCCTTTTAAGCACACCAAATGCTCTCTCTATAGTATTCCTAGTCCTGACATGGGAGGAATTATACCTACTCTGCTTGTCAGTACTAGGATTACCAAAAGGAGTCAGAATGTAGGACCTACAAGATATCACTGTCTACTTTGTAACTACCTGATCGCAGCTTCTCACATAAAAGAGACTCATTAAAAATACGAGCATATGGGCACTACCAGGCCATTTGCAATAACATTTAAAAATTTTAGGGAAGCATCACAGACACCCATCACATTCAAAGAAAGAATCCCTTGCGGCATCGATACAGTTCAGCATCTACTCCACCAGGACTCCTAATTGGAATGTGTGTTCCATCTACACACCCAATTACACCATGGCAATCACAGAAAATTGGCTCATGATGGTTTCTTCATTGATTGGCTTTGGGAACTTGATGTGCCTTGGTGCCAATTCTGCTATCCTAGCTGCAATAACTGAGACACATTTACTGACGCTGGACTGGGACACCTCTGAACAGTCAGCCATGCTCAGCTGAAAATTGCCAGTTGCCATGTATCTCAGAGTATGGTCAGCTGAAGATGAAATAGAATAGGTATCATACATATACGTATATATAAAATTTGGCATATACATCTTGCAAGAGCAAGGAGAGGTATTAATTTATACACTTATAAATAAAGTGTTTTAAGTGTATTTTATGACCTAAAATTGTTAGAACAAAATTTGAGAAAAATTTATGTTCCATATTAAGATACATATTATGCTCACCTCTGTTATTGTGAACTACTGCTAGACGGTGTCTGATGGTCTCAAGCAGTTCAGTGACACACTCTTTAGTCACCCTGTATCTTGCCACAAATTCTTCATTGCTGTAGGATTGAAAAGGATTCATCCTATCACGTACCACATATCTTTCGACTGTGGCTCCTCTTTCCAAAGCAACGAGATGTTGCAAATGCTGCAAATGATCCATTCTGAAATATATAACAATTTTATTAATAAAGTAACATATGGTAATGTACTTGTCTTTAAATTTGCAAGGTGACTACATAGCCTAATTAGAAACTTAGAGTATGTTCTAAAATATATTTCACATTTACAGAATATTATATCCAATTAAAATTAACTGATAATAGCGTTATATATATATGTATGATACTTTACAATTTTCTCACTAAATTATGCCAATATTTCCTGAATTTTTCAGGTACCGTAAATTGTAATTTCAATGATTTATATGCATTAAAAATATACCACTAATGCGTTTCATTCTTATTTTATGACGAAGAGCTACCAAATAATGACTGCCATAATGATTGACACTGTCATTTATATATATATATATATATATATATATATATATATATATATATATATATATATATATATATATATATTTTTTTTTTTTTTTTTTTTTTTTTTTTTTTTTTTTTTTTTTTTTTTTGACAAGAGAGAGACAGAGAGAAGAGAGAGAGAGAGAGAGAGAGAGAGAGAGAGAGAGAGAGAGAGAGAGAGAGAGAGAGAGAGAGAGAGAGAGAGAGAGAGAGAGAGGGAAGAAAGAGAGAGAGAGAGAGGAAAGAAAGAGAGAGAGGGAGAGGGAATAAGACAAAGGAAAAGACAGAAAGAGAAATTGTGGACATTCAAAAGAAAATAGTTTTCAATAAGGCACTTCATAAATAGAGAGTATCATAGAGGCTGAAGTTATAATAGACCCTGCTATGTAATTTTTTTCTCCACTTTAGTTAAAATAGGTTGTTAATAGGCTTTAATTTAGCAATGATAAATACTACAATTTAAAGAGTATTTTTTGTTGGCACGAGTCAGTAGACCTACATCCTCAGCTTATATATCTTTAGACCATTATTATGTTATAAAAAATGTGTATTTATTGCTTAAAAAACAATATTGTTTTCCGTGTACAAATTGTTACTACCTATACACAACAGGTCGGAGATGGCGTGCCGAATTATGGGAAGATAATCCCTGAGTAATATGCAGATGGTGATGACAGTGGATTAGAGAGTATGGTGCATCTATTTAGGGATTTATGATTGAAATAGTTAAATAATTTACTAGCTGAAGGGTCAAATGTGCGAGAGATACTACAAACCAATTAACTTCAACTACCTACAATATATCTCGAAAAATATACGGGGAAGTATGTGTATTTATTTATTATTTTTATAGAAGTATATCGGGTGTATAGATAGGAAGTGAGTGAGAAAAGGCCGGTCCTTATTTCGGCGGCCAGCAGAAGAAACGAATCAAAAGGAACTGAACCAGTGTATCGTTCGAGACTCGAGCCTAGTATGCGTGTCGGTTACAATAGTTTTGGGGTTCGATTTAGTTTCCAAAAAAACTATGCTTGCTTACCAGTATATGCTAAAATGATGAGTATGTCTATAAAAGATTTCAACACTATTTACAATATTTTTGTATAACAAAAAAGTTTAATTGTGCTGTGTGGAATTATATATGGCTTCGCAAAATGGTGGATGTAGTTAATTTTCGCAGGGCTTATAACCAGGCAACGGTTTCATGGCTACGTTCCAATATGCGAAGGTCGCAAATTTAAGTATGCTCTGAGAAGGCCGAACATAGGCGGTGGCGCACCGACCTCCATCGCATAACGCTCGACCTGGATAGGGTACAACCATTGCGAGTACGCTATGGGTTCGCAAATTTCATCGCCGTGGGTCATAAGATCACAAGACAAATGAGAAGCCGATCGCAAGAATAGGGCTTACGTAAATCGGACTTGTAAATACAGGGAAAAATATGACGAACCGCAAAGAGCTGTCTCGCGATCAGAGAAGGCGAAGGGAACAGAGGCCTCTAAGCTCCGGCCTGCTTTAACTCAGAGATCAGAGACGTGTGATGGGAAATGAGGAATGGGCCGCGTTGAGACTTAATCCTTCATAAGATGTGGCTAAGCTGTGTTTTACTTATTGCGTTTCATTGTGGGCTTTTTTGCACGATTGCGGGCCTACGCACATAGAACCCCAAAACGTCAGACGTGAACACGAGAAGGTGATTTGCGCACCGCAAAAACGCCCTCTCAAGACTGAGAGTTATCGTAAAACAATTATTAGACATCTCTCTTCCAACATGCTGTGGACGCTGCAAGACGGGTTGCGGGGAAGTTGCTTGTCCTTTTAAATGAAATTGGAAGATTCCCAATTTTAGACGCGCTTTAATAGGTGCACTAGAAAATGAAATATGGGGAGCAGAGGAACCAGCAGAAAGAAGACATAGAGTCAGAATCAGTAAGAGTTGGAGCTTATGCAGAAAATATTATACCCCTCTACAACGACCAGGAGTTCAAATCTCACTTCAGAATGCATCGACCAACTTTCATGGTAAGAAGTGATACGTCATGTACTTTAGTATAAGAATTATGCCATGCAATATCAAAATGGAACTTTCAGTTAATGTGATATGTTCAAATCTGCTTGATTATTACTGTGATATTGATGGATAGTATGAAGCAGTTAATGAAGTCTTCAAGCTTTTGCAAAAGCCAGCAAACATTATTTTTAATTTGCCAAGATATAGCTTGGATCAATTTTTTATTTGACAAAAATTACATTACAAGGGGGGTCTACCCCATCTTGAATAATTTACATAAACAAAGTTTGTTGCTCTTTGCTGGAGTATTTCTATACTTAAGTGGATGAATGCTCGGCAATAATTTTTGGAAATAGGAAGTAAACAATATTTCTAGTTACTACATATTTCAGTCATTTCAGTAATCACCAATAGGTTTTTTCATAGTCCTCGTACCCAAATGGGAATCTGTGTATTTGCTATATGTTTATAATTTCAGCAGCTAATTTGTACTTCTTAGAAGTTTTTTATTTTTTCTTTTAGTCTTAAGCATTATAATTGTTAAAAAAATTAAATAAAAATGAAATTGGATGATTCTCAAGGATTTAAGTGGTTCATGTGGTAATCTGAATTTACCAAGTATTCATTTTCTGCCTTTCAGCTGTTCTTATGTATACTTCTCTTTATCAACAGGACTTGTGTCAGATTCTTAGACCCCATCTATCCAATAAGATCCTGTCTGAAGAGAAGAAGATCCTGGCTACACTCTGGCTTTTGGGGAACCAAGAGTCATTCAGAGGTGTTGGTGACAGATTCAACTTGAGCAAATCATCACTACACAAAGTTTTTCTTAAGTAGCATGTGCACTGAAGTTAGTTATGAAAAATATCATTGTATGGCCTGCAAGAGATCAAATTAATGAATTTACAAGAACAATTCTTTAGGAAAACTGGATTTCCTGGTGTTGTCGGTGCTATAGATGGAACTCATACAGATTCCAGGTCCTAAAGAGAATAGAGACTCATATGTAAACAGGAAAATGTTTACAAGTATTCAGCTGCAAGCAGTTTGTGATTGTAATCTAAGGTTTCTCGATATATATTCAGGATGGCCAGGGTCTGTACATGATGCAAGGGTGTATAGAAATTCTCCCATATATTCACTTTTGAAAAACAATTATTTGCCCAGAGATTTTCATTTGCTTGGTGATATGGCTTATCCTCTCTCACCATTCATGATTGTCCCTTACAAGAATACTGGTCATCTCACACCTGAAACAGAGATCTTTAAAAAAATTCATTCTTCTACTAGGGTAGTGATCGAGAGAGATTTAGTTTACGTAAGTGTAAATTTTCGAAGTTTTAAAGTACCTAGATATGACCAGACTTGACAAAATGCCATTAATTATTACAGCTGCTTGTGTTTTACATAATTTTATTTTACTCAGGGAAGTTACAAGACGTTTTTGAACCCGAGCCAGAGGTTATATATGAAGGTGTTCCCGAAGTGGAAAGTGGGGAAGCTATTACAAAACGAGATGAAATAGCAAATCTGCTTGCATAATGTAACTTCTTTGTAAACTAAATTAAACCTGTTAATCTGCCTGCATAATGCAACTTCTGTCTGCATTGTTTCCTGCATCAAGCTGTTTGTATGCTTGCAAATAATGCCTCCTCTTATTTGTCTTTTTTGTGTATTGTATTAATTTCTTCAAAATATATTGTATATATTTTCGTTGTTCATAAATATTTCAATGTACATAGGTAACATAATCACCTGATAGATCACACATCTCTTTTCTTTTCTCGTAATTTTTATATCATTTTTCAGTTTTTTCACATAAATCTTTCATAGTTAATTGTATTCATGTTCANTGTGTGTGTGTGGTGTGTGTGTGTGTGTGTGTGTGTGTGTGAGTACACGTACGGCATGATAGTTGACATCCTGTGCACTGTGCGTGAGTCTGCGGTCGTAAGATGTATGTTTTCCTTTGCATATAATTGACTCGTAAGTCCTTAACAGCTCCAATTAGGATCCATTCCCTCCCATTAGAACAGTAACTTCCAAATATAGAAGACTCTTAAGTAAAAGATGGGGGGAGGTATCGGCCAGAGGGAGGAGGGGACTCAGCAGGTGATCCAAGTGTGTAGCTATGGCCGGGAAGGGGACATAAATAAAGACGAATATTCATATTTTGTAAATAAACTTTTGTGCTTACATATCCACACTGCTCTTTAACAGCGCTTGATGATTAAAATATATGTATGGCGTGACAACTACAGATATTTTAAGGTGTTGGTGAGATGACTCATCAACTCCTTTAGGGCCCATGATAAGAGAAAGTTATTTCCGAAAGCAAAAGAAGCCTCTGCAATACAAAACTTTAGATGTATCCTGTGATATTCCTGTGGTCTCTCCCGCATCCTCCAGCCCTCATATTTTCCTCTTCTATTCTCTTTGTCTCTCTTCATTCGCAAAGCAAGAGTCAAAACCACTTCAGAGACATACTATCGGAGTACCCCCTGGTCCCTTTCTCTCTCTCTCTCTCTCTCTCTCTCTCTCTCTCTCTCTCTCTCTCTCTCTCTCTCTCTCTCTCTCTCTCTCTCTCTCTCTCTCTCTCTCGCACGAAAGCATGAATGGAAAGTAGAGTAAATGAATAGATGAAAATCACTATGATAGTCTATCTTTCCCTGTGTCCCTTTTTCACCTCGCTTCGTGCATCACCGGAGCACCAAAGCACGAGGGAACCGCAGTCACGGGAAAGCAAGAAAAGGAAGCTTTAATGGGAAGCTCCTTTTCCATCTTGTCTCTCGTTCGACCTGCTGTTCGTAGCGCTAGAGCATGAGTGAAAGGTAGCCATTGTGAAAAGGGGTAAGAGCTCCATTGTCTTGTCCCCTTTCTAGCCTGCCACTGGAAGCACTATCAGTAAAAAGGAGCCCCAGTTCAGTGAGAGGAAGGGCACCCTTAAGACCCTTCTGCCGCCCCCCATCCGGTCTGCCATTCGATGCACTAAACCTTGGTCTCCTGCCTGACTTCTAGAGCGGTGTCCCCACTGCGACGGCGAGCACGGGGCCGAGTCCTGCACCACCTGCCGCACCTACCACCGCTACTTCCCCCGACCGTCACGCCCTCGCGCCCACGCCCACGCCTACCACACCAACAACCCGCAGGCCGCCCTCAAGGTGCTGCGCCAGCCCGGCCGCCGAGACCTGCGTCCGAGGAAGCGCTACCTGGCCGAGATCGATGGCGCCCTGCATGGTAGGGCTCGTCCCCGCGCCTCTTGCCTTGCCTCGCTCGCTGGGCGCCGCCCTCCGCCCGCGCCCCTCGCCCTGCCTGATCGTCGGGCGCGGAGGGAGACTCGTCGAAGAGGGCGCCGCCGCAGGGCCTCAGGAAGGGCTTCCGGGACGGCCTAGAACATGCCCTGCTTTGCTTTGGCCTTATTCTGTTGCTTGGTTTATTGCTTGCTTTAAAAGATGCTTTAGCTCTTTCTGAGTGTGATCACTCGCATGTATGTATGTATGCTTGAATGTGTATGAAGCTTAGTTCATCATCGAAAACTTCCCGTCTTTTCTTCCACTGGTTTTGAAATTATTTCCCAGCGCTAAGA